TTTTCGATTGGTGATTTAATTTTTAGTTGATGTTGAGTGTTTGCTTTAAATCTTTTCTTTTGATCTTTCAACTTTCATCACTAAGAAGTCGAGGACATGCCTTTCCAAAAAAAAAAAAAAAAAGAAGGGGTTTTTTTCTTCCTTCCCTTCCCTTTCAGACTTCAGACTTCAAACTTCCTTTCTCTTCCACCTTCCATTTGCTTCTAGGTTTAGATGGGTCGGTGATGGTTGCCAGTGTCTAGTGAGACCTCTGGGGTTCCTCTATCCAATATATCTCTCTTCTCAGTGGTATCTTGAAGTTTTCTATCTCAATTCCTTACGCTTTCTCTTGCTTTTTGATTTAGATGGTGATTGTTGATGCTGGAGAGGGGGAGAGCAAGTGGCATGAATTAGACATATTGAGGAGGTGGGTTTTATTTGATCTTGTGTTGTGTATTCTATTTGTTCATGTGTATCTATTTAATTCTTTTAATTTCTTACCACATTATTTTTATAATTCTTTCTTTTCTGTTTTGCAGTTTCCACCTAATTCTTTGGAAGAAGAAACTGAAGGAAGTAAATGGATTTTATCAAAATTGAAAAAGAAACTGAGAAAAAGGGAATTAATAGAAGCAAGGGATTCCATAGCTTCAGGTATACATAGAACCGAGCTATCTCAGATCTAGATCATCTCTGGTTATTCATTAATTTTGATTTGCCATGAATGATCTACATTGTTGAAATGGGAGCATGATTTTCATTTTTGTTTGTTTAGATCATTGGTAGCTGATTGTTCTCTCCATATGATTTTTCACTGATTTGTTTTAAAATTCATATGGTTGTAATTTAGTCTTTTTTGTATTGTTTTTTATTTTAACTTTGAAAGCTTTCTTTTTTTATAGTTAGATCATATGCTGTAGTATTACGGATTCATTGTCACTTGGTTTGTGACTTTATATGTTGCCTGAACTAATTTTAGGCACCTTGGTTGAATCCATATTGATTGGGGTCTAGCGTTTACTCATCCATGTGTATTCGTGCTCAATGTTACCCATGACTTAATCTCATTCATGGTTTAGAGTTGAGTTAAGTAACTATTAATTTTATAAGCCCTGTAGTGGTCTGAAGGGCAGAATTGATTGGCTTGATTGTTAACAAGTTTGCCAACTCTTTTTATACATGTTTGCAATTCATCTCAAATTGATTTTGGGTAGTGTTTCTTTATGGAAATTTTTCATGGTTGGTTTTGCCAACTGCATTGAGCTGCAACCAGAGGTGATTTATACATGCCATTAAGAAATTACAGAGGCTTATTCTTTCTTTCCACAGTTAGGATAGTTAAAAGCATGTTTGCAAGTTGTAGGGTGTCAACTAGATTCTTTGGATGAATTCAGTTTTGTTTCTTTTCTTGATGGTTGTTTGTGCTTCTTTGTTGTTACTTGGTTTTACTACAAGTTCTAAAGGGAATCAAACTGATGGTGAGAGGCAAAGGGGAGATGGCGATACAGATGGTGGAAGAGGTATTTTGTTTTTCAATGTCCCCCATTTCTTCCTTATTTTTTTTCCTCTATGTTTTATCTCATTTCATTTTCACTTTTTGGGTTTTTTTGCTTTTGTGAGATTTAAGCACCAGGATAGTTAATAGGAGAAACACAACCATCTCATAGTTGCTACAATGATCTCATTGTCACATGGTGGGTTTATAAACACCATAATAAACTCTTCTTTCGCTAAAGTTTTTATTTATGTTGCCTACAAATAGCTATGGGAGCTTGAATAGTTATGAATTTGTTGATCATTTATATTTTTTAACAAATTTGTGAGATTTGTTAGTACATTAGAATTTCTTTAGAGATTTGTGATGGTAGAGCAAGAGATTGAGTAGATTGAGTTTAATTTTAGTCAGATGAAGCTGCTGTGGCTACAGATGCAAATGGTTTTTTTTTTTTTTTCCTTTTTTCCAGGGTCTATACCAATGGATTATCCATTTGTAAAGGTGAAAGTTTATACCCACGGCAAATTTTTTTTAAAATTTCTTAGGGTCTATACCAACGGACAGGTTTTCCATGAGAATAGTCCCAAGGGTCTATACAAACAGATTAGGCATTGGTATAGACCCTATACTGACGAGGTTTCTACCGACTGAAAGTTCTTCCGTCGAAATAGTCCCTGGGGGTCTATATCAACGGAAAATGGGTCTATACAGACGAAAAACTTCCGTCAGTATAGGTACATCTCCTTGTAGTGTAAGTTTATGTCCAATTATATATATATATATATATTTTACAAATAGTATTTTCATTTAAATTTACTGTGCTGGGTGTTAAATACTGATTTGTTGATATTATGCATAATTGTTGAAGTGAATTTTAATCAAAACTTGTAACCCATAAAAGTGAAAATGCTGAATGCCATTTGACAAGTATTAGCCTACTTAATTAATTTTTCCCGTATATATGTATATATTTGCACATACATACCTATCTACTAGTTGGATTGATGAAAGAAGGACCCAAGAGAAGAAAAGAAATTTTAACTTCGAAGGAAATTATTGCTTATTTGATCATGCACGAAATGCAAGAAGAAGTTGCAAAGTTTTGTGAAACTCCACAAAAGGTAGGTCCCTTTGATCCTTAACTAAATTAAGGCTTACACCTTGCATGCTATTTCTTTGTCATCAAAGAAATAATTAGATGTGAATGATATGTCAATATCACAACTAAAAAAATGACTTTATATGACGGAAAATGGTGACCTTTTTTTTTTCACAGCCAAAAGAAGAATTTTATTGATGTAGAATACTAAGGGGACTCAATCCCATATTCTTACAGGATAACAATATGCACAAACTAACTAAAGTTATCTGCTCACAAACACGCAACTCAATTGTCTGCTCGCAAAAACAGCTCATAAATATAAAAGCCTGCAACATATCAGTAATTCACACTTGGATATCCATCACATTTGTGAGGAACTATAGATAATGACCTCTAATACTGATTTTCAAAATTAGAGTATAGAATTTTAACACAAAAATAATATTTTATCACAAAAAATTGATCAGAAAAAACAACATAAATTTGTGATAATTAAAATTACCACAGTAAAGTTATTATTAATTAGTTACTGGTTAATTTTTTTTTGGTGAAAGAGGATGATGTTATTGCTATATAATTAAGGTGCTGTTTGAATTAATTTTTTTGATATTGCTGATATTAATCGTTAAGATGATTATTGTTGTTTATAATACAAAATATCTAGTTTGTTTAATTAAAATTAACAATTTATAACTATTTTTAAAAGGTTAAAACAAACACCTCTTAGATTGACATCAGTACATATTGCTCTAGGTATGGAACCATACCAAATACCATCCCAAGGAGGATTAAAAGCAGATAACTCAGCAATTTTGTGGGGCTAACGCATTAAAGTCCCTACATGCATGTCCAAATGTGCAAGAAAGAAAATTCTGGACTTTAGCTTGCAAATTAGCAATCACCGCTCCGACTGGCAAAAAATATTCCTCCGTAGATTCAGTAGCATGCAAGGCTTGTAGGCAGGCAGTCCCCACAACAATGTCTTAACAACCAAAATCCTTACGACTCTGTAAACCAAAATCCAAAGCCATAATCTCTGCATGAGCAATTTGGCCATAGAAGGACGAATGAGATTTTGGACCAGATCCTAGAATGCTATTGTTACCGTCCCCGAGAACCACTAATTAAAAGCTTGACAATGTCTTGTTCCTATGGCAACCAACATTCGTATTGATTTTGATAACACAAACTGGGGGAGGGAGCCAAGGGTTGTCTGTATTGTGGCTTGAATGCTATTGCCAGCCCCTGTCTTGAGAGGAACTATTTTGATAGCATCTTTATACTTTAAATATCTGCCCCATTGATCTCGCAGCTCTATCCAGGGTTAGGCAGCAAGCAGTATGCACGAATCTATTATGGTTACCCCATCTGGACCACAATGTAATAGCCACCAATTCTCTTCCATCCACAGTTAGGTCAGGAAAATAATCCCAGAAATCATCTAAGAGGGAATTTTGACACATGATTATAAATAATTAATTTTTGTCATAGACACTAATTTTTGTTTTTTATTAAATTTTATTATTTGTAACAATTTTACTTTGTGACGATTTATGCGAGAAAATAGATATACAAAAAGTAACAAATTTCTCCTTACTATTAATCCAAAATTGGAGTCAAGGAAAACCAAACAGAAAAAATTTGTGTAGGTAAAAATTGTCATTGTAAAATAGATACGCGTAAAATATTAGTCACAAATGAGCAATTTTTGTCATTAGATACATTTGGAGATGATATCCTGGGCCCATCATAGAAAAGAAAATTGCAATTGGTATTTTTCAAACTAATGACCCATAATTTGTGATGAGGAAAAATTGACATCATAAAGTAAATAATTAAAAAAAAAACGTAAATAGTTATCTTTATAACTATTGCCAACAACATAAGTAGGGTTTTTTTTTTTTGAACAGTAAAAAGTTGATTAATATGGAGTACAAGGGGTACCCCGAACCCACATACATTCTTGGTTTGTTCCTTCTTTATGATCTGTAGAGCTAGATAATTATCACTCCAATACAAGTATACACACACTACCCACCCGATGCTTTCATTTCCTCACCCCATTTTGATTTTCTTTGTGCATTACCTTGGAGAAGATATCCAATCCTTGAATGAAAAGTCCACTTGTCCTACTCTTCCTGTTAGCCAAAGAAACGATCATGTTTGAACTAATGTGAATAGTTTCTCCTCATTAGCATCAATTGCCTTGAATAACAATTCATTTCTATACAACCATAAAGTCCACACAATAGCAAACCATACAACCTCCCACCCACCATTGCCCTTCCTCATCTTATTTGTCCAAAAGTGTTGTTCAAAAGCTTGCTCTAAATTACCATGTATGACATACGAAAAATCCCACCACCTTAAGCATTTTGACCATAGTCTCCACGCAATCAAGCAATTTAATAGCAAATGATCCCCACTCTCATTGCAAGAGCCACACAAATTACAAATCACTTGGGATTCTTCCCTCAATACCCCTTTAGCTAACAGGTTATCCTTAGTAGGAATTCTTCTTTGAAAAGCTTGCCACATAAAAGCACATAGCTTCTTCGGAACCAATGGTTGCCAACATTTCTTCCAATTTATTAACTTATTCTGATGTGAGGATTTCATCAAATGTTTGTAAGTCGACTTCACAATGTGGCTTCTATCAATTTCCCATCTCCATATCCATTTGTCTTGTCTACTTGCTACCTCCTTATTCTCCTTTATCAATTCTTCCAATTGGCCAATGGTCTTGGCATCCCTCTGGAAAGGTTGGTGTCTTCATTCGAAATCCCATATCCATGTGCTATTTCTCCATTGTCCTAATTCAACAACTGTGATGTTCTTGTCCACTGATAATTGAAATAATCTTGGGAACCTGTCACAAAGATTAGAACATCCAGCCTAGTTATGTTCCAAAACAAAGCACCCTTCCCATTCCCTAGCTTTAAGCCAAAACCGTCAATCAGCCATCCCTTTGAACCAGCCAAACCATTAGTTAAACTACATATGCTTCTCCACCACAGTGATCCCCTAAAGGTCCCTTCCCTTGCCCACTTGACCCAATTCCTATCTTTTACACCATACTTTTCTTCTAACACCAACCTCCATAACCCCTCCTTTTGAGTTAATAACCTATTTCACCATTTTCCTAGCAAAGAAAAATTAAATGCCCTAAGATTTTTCACCCTTAACCCATCGACCAATTTATCCTTACACACACTCTCCCACTTAACCCAACAAATCTTCTAATGGAGTCTAAGATCTTAATCACTCTTATTGGAACAAGGTACATGGACATGAGAAACACCGAAAGGTTAGACAGCACAAAGTTTAACAGGGCAATCCTCCCTTCAAAAGACAACAGCCTTGATTTCTAAGTTGATAACTTACTTTTGAATTTCTCGATCAAAAACTACCATTTCTTTAATCTCTGCATGTTTGTTCCTATTGGAATTCCCAAATACACAAAAAGTATACTTCCAACTTCACAATTTAGGACTCCAATATCTTTTCCAGTCATCTTTCATCTGTGTTGATTCCCATTATCATGCTTTTGGCATAGTTTATTTTTAAACCTAATACAAGCTAAAAAATCCTCATGATGCACTTCAAAGCCCACACATTTTGCTCCTTTGCTTCCTCAAAAATGATTGTGTCATCTGCATATTGCAAATGAGATACATAGAACTCCATTCGCCCAATCTGGACCCCACTGAACTATTTCTTATCCAATGTTGATTGGATAATGCCATTAAGTCCCTCAACCACAATTAGAAACAAAGAATGGGGATAAAGGATCCCCTTGCCTTAATCCTCTGCTCATAGAAAATTCCCTTGTGGGGCTTCTATTTACAAGCACTTAAACTAAGTTTGTTCTAAGGCATTGCAAAATCC